GGTTGGCACTAGAAGCTTTCTTGGGGCCCATGGTCACTTATTTTCCAGAAAAAGCACCGAAAACATTGTAATAATACGAAATATTCTGATTGTATGCTTGGATGTTACCGCGGAGGCTGGCTGGTAAACAATGCCACCGGCAGCACATGTGAGGCTGGCTGAGGGCGCACATTGGACGTGTCTCGGACGAACATCGGTGAGCGGGTTTTTAAGCGGTATGCGAGGCAAAATTTTTGCGATTAAAGCAAGCGGTATGCGGATTAATCGTTATGTGATGCCAACGGTATGCGGGGGTCCACTGTACTAGCAAAACAGGTATGAGTTTGCTACACTGAAACAATGGAATGGGCCATTCATAGGGCATGAAGTGGATGAAATCGCCGATGCGTAAATATCGCCTTTGGGTTAAGTGCATTCTAACTTAACCACTCTGTAATCTGGCAAAATCACTAATCCGGCACCCTACAGGTACTGATGGTGCCGGATTAGTGATGGTCAACCTGTATTACATGTATGTGTACATCGTGCCGATTAAGTAAAACTTCCAATTTTGGCTTAAATAGCAACACTCTTCTTGTCGAGTAAGGCAAGCAAAAATTTGTGTATGCAATAATTTCGCAAAAATCATTCTGAACCTAATGAAAAAAATATATTTCATTGTGTTTATTAAATTATTGTAAACTTATCTAAAATATATTCAGTTGGAACAGGCTAAATTAAATTGCACTTGTTATAACAAGATTAGATAAGTTTTCTAAGGTTCTTTGGTACAAAATTATTACTTTTTACTTTAACATAAATGAAAAAAATATATACCATTGAAGAGTTTGAAGAGTTTCTCTACTCTGAGCCCAGCCATGGGCCAGGTTCATCTGGTGCTTGCCTGGTCAACCCGGCTGTTGCTGCTGGAGGCCCGCTGCCCCACATATCCATCACAGCCTGGTTGATCCGGCACCTGGAGAAGATACTTGTCCAGTTTCCTCTTGAAGGCTTCTACACTTGTTCCAGCCGTGTTTGTGATATCTTCTGGTAAGATGTCGAATAGTATAGGACACCAGATGTTAATACATACAGTGTTCCCTCATTGTCCCCACCACACCCCTGCTCCTCACTGGGTTTATTTTACACTTTCTCCCATATCTCTCACTCCAGTATGTTATGGCAGTGTGCAGATTTGGAACCAGGCCCTCGAGTACTTTCCAGGTACAGGTCTCCCTCAACATTCACGTTTTCAGCTTTCGCGGGCTTCACACATTCACGAATTCCCAACCGCCAAATTCCCAGCCGCCAAATCATATTCAAGTTTCCCACCACCTGCGAGTCCCTACTACCCTCCCACCGACCCCCGCAACTGGCAGCCAGCCCTCCCACCACTCAGTGTGGCGAGTGTTTTGTTTGTTCATTATTTGCTATTAAACTGCAGTATAAATAATGTAAACCCACTCATGACTGCATATTGGAATGGTTATTCGGACAGGTATTAGACGGTGACATGTGTTTACTCGTGAACACAGCAAAGAATCAAATATTTCTGCTACTGCTAATAATAACAATAGTAATAATAATAATAATAATAATAATAATAATAAATGCGATATAATTGAAGAAGGAAGTTGTACAAAAATACGAGGGAGTGGTTGACACATCGTCAGTGTGGCTTTGTTTATGCTGGAGTGAGCATTAGTCTCCCTGCTCTAATAAACATTTCACAATAATTCATTGTGTTTGGTACTTGTAGATTGAGTGCGACTGGAGTGGTAGAGGCAGTGGTTGAGGCAGCTGTTGAGGCAGCAATTGAGGCAGCTGTTGAGGCAGCGATTGTGGCAGCTGTTGAGGCAGCGATTGAGGCAGTGGGTGAGGCAGCTGTTGAGGCAGCGATTGAGGCAGTGGTTGAGGCAGCTATTGAGGCAGTGGGCGAGGCAGCTGTTGAGGCAGCGATTGAAGCAGCTGTTGAGGCAGCGATTGAAGCAGCTGTTGAGGCAGCTGTTGAGGCAGTGCATGAGGCAGTGCATGAGGCAGTGCATGAGGCAGCTGTTGAGGCAGCAATTGAGGCAGCAATTGAGGCAGCGATTGAGGCAGCGATTGAGGCAGCGATTGAGGCAGCGATTGAGGCAGCTGTTGAGGCAGCGATTGAGGCAGCTGTTGAGGCAGCAATTGAGGCAGCTGTTGAGGCAGTGATTGAGGCAGCTGTTGAGGCAGTGATTGAGGCAGCTGTTGAGGCAGCAATTGAGGCAGCTGTTGAGGCAGCGATTGAGGCAGTGGTCACTGAGGCAGCTGTTGAGGCAGCGATTGAGGCAGTGGGTGAGGCAGCTGTTGAGGAAGCGATTGAGGCAGCTGTTGAGGCAGCTGTTGAGGCAGCTGTTGAGGCAACTGTTGAAGCAGCGACTGAGGCAGTGGGTGAGGCAGCTGGTGAGGAAGCGATTGAGGCAGTGGTATTTAATAACATACATGTTATTAATAATAATAATACATGTTATTAATATGTACTTATTATTATTTATAACATATATGTTATTAAATACCACTGCCTCAACCGCTGAATTATTGTGAAATGTTTGGAAGAGCAGGGAGACTAATGCTCACTCCAACATAAACAAAGCCACACTGACGATGTGTCAACCACTCCCTCGTATTTTTGTACAATTTCCTTCTTCAATTATATCGTATTATTATTATTATTATATTATTATTATTATTATTACTATTGTTATTATTAGCAGTAGCAGAAATGTTTGATTCTTTGCTGTGTTCAAGACTAAACACATGATGTCACCGTCCGATACCTGTCCGAATAGCCATTCCAATTTGCAGTCATGAATGGGTTTACATTATTTATACTGTAGTTTAATAGCAAATAATGAACAAACAAAACACTCACCACACTGAGTGGTGGGAGGGCTGGCTGCCAGTTGCGGGGGTCGGAGGGAGGGTAGTAGGGACTCGCAGTGGTTGGGGAAGTGGTGGAGGCATTGGTGGAGTCTGTGGTATTTAATAACATACATGTTATTAAAGCATAACATGTAAATATTTAGTACAATTTACGACGTTTTCATGTATTTTATGATTGTTCATGGTTCAACAAGTTAAGGAAGCAGTATTGTATTATATTTCCCTACAATATATTGGGGCACCAAACATTCACGGTTTTTCAACATTCGCGAGGCTCTTGATCCCCTAACCCTCGCGAATGTTGAGGGAGACCTGTATATATATTATCATGCATCTCTCTCCTCTGCTCCAATGAATACATGTTCAAGACTTGAAGGCATTCCCAGTAATTTAGGTGCTGTACTGGCTCAATGTGAGTCATAAACGATATCTGTATTTGTTCCAGCTCTGATATTTCTCCTGCTTTGAACGGGGCCATCAGCACTGAGCAATATTCTAAGTGAGGGAGCACTAGTGATTTGAACAGTGTCACCATCGGCATTATGGCATTATTTCCCTTGTTTTGAAAGTTCTCAATACCTACCCCGTCATCTTCCTGGCTGTCGTGATCTTTGTCTTGTTATGGTCTTGAAGAGAAAGGTCAGCTGACATAATTATTCCCAGGTCTTGTATGTGTTCCTTTCGTTCTATATGGTGACCCTCTTGAGTTTTGTATATAGTGTTCCTTTTGAGTTCTTCATTCATTCCATATCTAAGCAGCTGAAACTTATCACCACTGAATGTCATGTTGTTCTCCACTGCCCATTGGAAAACTCTGCATATGTGTTCATGTAATTTTTCAGTGTCCTCTACCGTAGTGACTGTCATGCTTATTTTAGTGTCATCTGCAAATGATGACACAAAAGTGTGCCGGGTGTTTTTATCTACATCTGCTATGAGGATGAGAAACAGCATAGGTGCCAGGACGGTGCCTTGGGGCACTGAGCTTTTGACCTCACTGATGCTGGATCTTGCCCTGTTAACTACTATTCTTTGTGTTGTGTGTGTTAGGAACCCAAAAATCCATCTGCCTACCTTCCCCATAATGCCCATGGCCCTCATTTTGTGCACTATCACTCCATGATCGCATCTGTTAAACACCTTTGCAAAATCTGTGTAAATCACATCTGCGTTTTGGTCATCTTCCAATGCCTCCATAATTCTGTCATAATGGTTCAGCAGCTGTGACAGGCATGATCGTGCTGCTCTAAAACCATGCTGATTCGAGTTATGCTGGTTGTGCTGGTCCATGAAATTTGTAATCTGCCGTCTCATCATGCTTTTGAATATTTTTATGATGTGAGAAGTTAGGGTTACTGGTCTGTAATTTTTAGCTAGTGCTCTACTAACTCCCTTATGCAAAGGAGCTACGTCTGCACTCTAAGTCCTCCGGTATTTCATTTAGGTCTAAGCTCTTTCTCCAAAGAATACTGAGTGCTCTTGCTAATGGTACTTTGCACTTCTTTATAAACAGAGCATTCCATGAATCTGGTCCAGGTGTTGAGTGAGTGGGCATGGTGTCCATTTCTTTTTCGAAATCTATTTGATTTGTACTAACGTCAATTAGTTGGTCTGGGCAGCCTTCTTCTAGAGTGAAAAAATTTCTGCATTTTCTACCTTGCTGTCATTTAGTGGGTTGCTGAACACAGACTCATACTGTTCTTTTAGGATTTCACTCATTTTCTGTTCATTGTCAGTATACGAGTCTCCTCTCAGTAGTGGTCCAATTCTACAGGTAGCTCTTAGCTTGGATTTTGCATAGAAATAGAAATATTTTGGGTTTCTTGCAATATCCTGTATGGCCCTTTGTTCCCTTTGTACTTCTTCTGTTAGGTATGACATGCTAGGTTTTTGCTCTAATAATATTTAAATGTAAACGAGAAAATTTTATAAAGGACAATTTTAAATGAATTCTTGCTAATTGACCAATTTTACCTATTCGGCACGACATTATATAATCTCAGGCGAGTACACTCACCACAAATACACACACACACAAATGTACACAAACAAATATGCATATGTACAGAAACACAAATGCACACAAATACATGCAAACAAATATACACAATCACAAATACATACAATCATAAATGCACAGAATCACAAGTACACACACACACACATACATCACATATGAGCTCCTCAGTAGCAGGATTAATGCTCTTCAGGTATTTGCCACTTGTTGCATCAACAAACTGTCCATCAATAAAGAGTTGGTGAGGGAATTCAATATCCATGTTGTTGACGTGCATCTTGATGGCATCATACTCAAAGACTGGTTTAGCATCCCCTCCTCTCATTCTCATAACCATAACCTGAGAATGAAATTGAGAAAATTTAAAATAGGACATTTTTCTCAACTACATAATAAACATCAATTACCATACACTTTCAATGGTCTCACAATCATCAATAAACTACTTACTCATATACAGTATTAAGAAAATAGCTAAAAGAAATAGGCAAAAAAGACTGTATATACTGTATTAAATGGAATGCAGAAATCTACATAACAGACCAAAACTAGGGAGGCCAAGCCCATGATGACACTCTTCAGGTCACTTGTTCTATCTAGGCTGGAATATTGCTGCACACTAACAGCACCTTTCAAGGCAGGCGAAATTGCTGACCTAGAAAATGTTCAGAGAACCTTCATGGCACGCATAACGGAGATAAAACACCTCAATTACTGGGAGCACTTGAGGTTCCTGAACCTGTATTCCCTGGAACGCAGGCAGGAGAGATACATGATTATATACACCTGGAAAATCCTAGAGGGACTAGTACCGAACTTGCACACGAAAATCACTCACTACGAAAGCAAAAGACTTGGCAGACGATGCAACATCCCCCCAATGAAAAGCAGGGGTGTCACTAGCACGTTAAGAGACCATACAATAAGTGTCAGGGGCCCAGACTGTTCAACTGCCTCCCAGCATACATAAGGGGGATTACCAACAGACCCCTGGCAGTCTTCAAGCTGGCACTGGACAAGCACCTAAAGTCGGTTCCTGACCAGCCAGGCTGTTGCTCGTACATTGGTTTGCGTGCAGCCAGCAGCAACAGCCTGGTTGATCAGGCTCTGATCCACCAGGAGGCCTGGTCACAGACCGGGCCGCGGGGACGTTGAGCCCCGGAACTCTCTCCAGGTAAACACCAAAAGTGATAAATACTCAGCTTTGATTGCTTTGAGCACTACCGTTTCTCTCTCTGCCACCTCACTGGTGAGTGTTTCACCGCTGTTACTATATTTGTTTACCTGTATTATTATAGACTTAAGTAACCTAACCACACCAATCTAACTTAGCCTAAATTATTATAGCTAAAGTCAGAATAAAGAAAATAGGATTTTAAAAAGTTTTAAGTGTCAAGAACTAGTGTTGCATATGTTAGGAAACCAGGGTTATTAGAAAAAAAAAATTGTTTAAACCTAGTCTTCCTTGTTTTTTTAGAATACCTGGTATTAAAGGCTTAACTTTACAAAACATTCACATCTACTACTGTGCATTCTATACATATAGGACACTTAGTATCTAGTATGTTATGTCCACACAAGTCATAACCACTACATACATTTAAACAAATTATCTTACTAAAAACAAAAAAATTTCATAAAATTAAAAAAAATTGGTAATAGGTAATATCAGTTATTGCAAACTTTATAAATGTCTGTAGTTATAAGCTAATCTTATAGCTGCCCAAAATGTTCTGCATAACCAGAAGATTTCTATAAAGTTGCCAAAAATGTCAACTATTCCTGTGTTAATAATATTTTATATAAAAACTATTATTAAATTAGACACATGTGCAACTCTTGGGTATCTTTATTGAGGAAACGTTTCGCCCAAGAGTTGCACATGTGTCTAATTTAACAACATGTCGGTTCTTTGAACCATTCATCTACAATCCTGTCAGACACTGCAACTTCTTGGGATCTTAATACTTGGGAATTCTTCGCTTGCCTAACCCTTGGGCACGACCTACTTCCACATTGGACAAATGTGACACCACCTACGACTGCTGCACCTCTCCTGCCATACGGTTTATAAGCTGCTTCTCCGCTCATATGCCGTATTCTATTCAAGATTGATGGACTGACCAAATCGACTCAAGGTTGAGGGACTGATTACCTCATTCTCCTCCTGTTCTTCAAGTTTCTCCTATGTATGGACTGATGAAGCCACTGTGGCGAAACGTTTCCTCAATAAAGATACCCAAGAGTTGCACATGTGTCTAATTTAACAACATGTCGGTTCTTTGAACCATTCATCTACAATACTATTATTAAACAAGGAAAGTTATTCCCTGGAGGCCCCTTAGTAAAAATGTTAGGTAAACAAAGCACACAAATTGGAGGGTCCAACAGTACTTTCATAAATATACTGGTTTCACTAAGGACATCCTTTATTGTGATAATAAAGTACATAGTGGAAAATGTAATTTTTTTTCACCCATACAGTGTACATGGTAAAGCAGCAGATGTGTACCAATGCTGCTTCATGTCTGATGCACATGAAAGTCTCTTGCATCACCAAGAGGGTGACGGGTGTCTCCTGATCCAGGGATACATTTAATACTGTGCTTCAGACTCTCAACCCTCTCCTCAAATGGAAGTCAGTTAACTGATCCTGCTATTCCTGGGATTCCTCTCTTTGGTGTAAATGGACCCCATCATTATGTCACAGTGACAAGAAGGTACTGTTCTCAGCTTCAGACACCTATGCATTTTGTTAAAAACAAACTCTCCTCATTTCTTGTTCCCTCTATAGCACCACAGCTCAGTCATTCTCCCAAGCAGTGCTAATGGGCACTTTCTAGTTACACAGCCCTTCTTCCCAAATCTGTAAGGGCACCCTACTATTGTACAAGCAGTTTAGCAAGTCATTCTTGTCTGATCACCCAGTTTTTTTTTTTTTTCCCTCAAGGGAGATTTCTTGACATTAGTGAGGGGCTCTTGATATAGGGAATTGGATCTGTGCTCCAATTCCCTGAATTGAAGCTGAATGCCTTCCATCCCCCTTCCCCTCCACAGGTGCTGTATAATTATTATTATGGGTTTAGCACTCCATAATAATAGTTTTTCTTCCTACCCTTGTCATATAAACACATCACATCCCAGATGTTGCACAGTCTTTCTTGTAACTTTCTCAGAATATATAACTCTTCATGGAGGGTGTATATGGTCTCTTACCTCGAAAGGACACCCTATGGAAATTGAATGAAGCCCATGCCTCCTCCATCTTCTCACCTGAATTTAATTTTGTGTCAACTACCCTCAAATCTCCTTTCCTATTTTGTAATGTTCTTTCTCAAATATAAAAGTGTCCATATTTTGAAAGATTGCTGTAAATAATAAAAAAGGCCCTCAGTGAATGAGAAAAACAATAGATGAAAACATAAGAACATAAGAAAGAAGGAACACTGCAGCAGGCCTACTGGCCCATGTGAGGCAGGTCCAATTCTCCCACCGGCTTAAGCCAATGCCCTAACCTAGTCAGATCAAGTCACATTCACTTAAGGTAGGAGCATGGCATCAGACCTAGTAGCACTAGCTAGTCAGGTCCAACTCGCACCCACCCACACCCACTCTTGTATTTATCTAACCTATTTTTAAAACTACACAATGTCTTAGCTTCTACGACGGTACTCAGGAGTTTGTTCCACTATTACCAAACCAGTGCTTCCCTATATCCTATATCTCTCCTCTTACTACTTGTCTTTCTGAGCTCTACCTAGAGCAAAACATTGTCTAAGATATGTCATGAAAGTATACAAAATAATAAATACTGAATATTCCCCAGCATCATCAATATGAAGGAAAGACCACAGTTGTAAGGTGACAAAAAAAGATAGTACTGAAAGAATAACAGTTTCTTTTCCACAGTAGCAGAACAATTCAACTGTACACAAGATAAGGTAGCAAGTGGTACAGCCACGAGAAATTTTAACAAAATACACTATGAAGATGGGACACCACAGGTACAGCCTTGTTCCTGAAGTTACACAGAGATAATAATCACATGTTTAGCCCATTTCATAAATACATGTAATACATTTACAGTAATATATGTAATAATACAACTAACCCACAATGTGTAATTTTTTCTCTTACAATGTAAAAGAAAACAATCACTATCAGTTATCTTTAACGCATGACAAATTTAACACAAGGCTGAATGTGTTTGCTTGGTTATTTTAATGTATACAGTAAGGAATAAGGTGCCAATAAGGGTGGACCCACAACACCAACACTAAGAGGTATAAATATATAAAACAAGACATTATGTGAAGCACGAGGTGGGCTAGCAGCTTGTCACTGGATTTTGTTTTAGTTTCAATTTAAAAAAAAATGCTTACACTGAAGGGATCCTGGCTCCAATACTGTCAGACTTTGGGTGGTGTACCATTTCCTTTAAAAAATATTCCAACATCATACTCTATAAAATCTTTATGAATGTTTTTTCTTCTAGACAATCTATTCCACTCATCCAACCAAAAACTTGCCTAATGCCCTTGTGAACCTCACCTGTATAAATTCCTGGAATGTTGTAGCCATATAAACATCTTCATTTTCCAAAGAAACTCCAGCTTTTTCCTTGGTTTCCTCAACTAATCTATAAAAAAAAAGCAAGCATATCATAATGAAAGAAATTCTGTGGTGGCTTTGTACATACTACTGCAGTATTTAAGTTAAAAACAATCAGTTATCTCATACACTATTCTAATAATCCAATGTAGCTTTGTACATGTCCCCTCTGGTCAAGTTTATTCCAGTTTACTAACATCATCACATGATAAATAGATGAACATTATGAAACAAAAGGAAGAGGTGGGATAGGCTAAAGCCACAAAAGGAATACATGTATAAAAAAAAAAGAGGTAAGAGCAGCCATAAATAAGCCAAAATCAGTCAAATAAGTGGAAGGAACAAGTGCAGAGATGTTGAAAGATAGTACAGGTCAGCCATCACAAATCCGGCATCATTGGGACCTGTAGTGTGTCGGATTATTGAGTTTGCCGGATAACAGAGCAGTTAGGTTAGAATACACTACAGTCGACCCACGCCTTACAAATGCATCGCGTTATGTTAAATCTGCCATATGAAGCATTTGAACGCAAACATTTTGCCTCGTCTCACGATAAAAAACTCGCCTTACATGATTCATCCGAGACGCACCCCAAGTGTGGCCTCAGCGCCAGTGTTTACAAGCCAGCCAGTGCGGTCGCATCTACGCATACATTCGGTACATTTCACATTATCCCAGTGTTTTTAGTGCTTGTAACTGCAAATAAGTCACCATGGACCCCAAGAAAGCTTCTAGTGCCATCCCTGTGGTAAAAAGGGCAGAATTAGTATGGAATTGAAAAGAGAGATTAAGGAAATGTGTGCAAATTGGGTTGAACTGCAAACCTTTATGGATGAAAATCACCCTGACACAGCTACTGCAAGCTGTGTTGGCAACCTGTACAATGACAATGTTATGGCCCATTTTAGGAAAGTCTTAAAGGAACGGGAGGTACAGAGCTCTATGGACAGATTTGCTATGCGACAGAGGTCCAGTGACTCTCAAGCTGGTCCTAGTGGCATTAAAAGAGGAAGGGAAGTAATCCCAGAAAAGGACTTGCTACCTCAAGTCCTAATGGAAGGGGATTCCCCTCCTAAACACTCTCCCCTCCTCCCATCCCATCAATCATCACCAGATCTTCAATAAAGGTAAGTGTCATGTATTCTATTCTTGGTAGAGTAGTAATTATGCATGTCTTCTTCAGTTCGTGTGTATTAAAATTAATATTTCATGTGGTAAAAAATTTTTGTTTTCATACTTTGGGGTGTCAGGAACGGATTAATATGATTTCCATTATTTCTTATGGGGAAAATTAATTCGGCTAATGATAATTTCGGCTTACGATGAGCTCTCGGGAACGGATTAATATCGTAAGGCGGGGGTCCACTGTATTAATAAAGTTAATCAACTTTACTTACACAAGAAAGTTCACTGAACATAGGCAAAAATCAGACATTTACGCTACTTTGGGCTCAATTTCAAGGTACTTTTCATTGTGAAACCAATCAAAATCATATCTATATTTCTATAATATATCTTCTATTTTATCAAATGAGACCACAAAAATAAGAATACAACCATAAAAACCATAAGAAAATATACCGGTATGGGGCAGCTAATGGCTGAGAAGTGAACTCTTGTTGTTTATCATCCAATTTTTTTAATTTCTGGTGTACGTTAAGAAGCATCTTTCCATCATACATTGTCCAAGTTTCAATAAGATAGCCCAACAAACAACCTAGAAAAAATATTGATAAAAAATCATATACGGCAAGCCCAAGCCTGGAAATAAGTCAATGATTTTTTTTGGGTTATCCTTGGTTTAATCGGATCACCCATCAAAAGATGCACAGAGGGGAAATTCCTAGGAATCCACCTTGACAGTAGCCTTAAATTGCAGACACACATACAACAAATTTTCAAGAAAATCTCTAAGACAGTAGGCATACTATCCAAGATACAGTACTATGTTCCACAATCGGCTCCTTGCACTGTATCACTCGCTCATCTACCCTTATCTCACCTATGGAATTTGTGCATGGGGATCAACAACATTAAATCACCTAAGACCACTAATAACCCTGCAAAAGGCTGTAGTCAGAATGATAAATTCCCAATCCAGACAGCATACTCCACCAATATTCAAACGTCTAAAACTACTTACTGCAAAGAACATCCATACTTATTCTTGTGCCTACCACATACATAAAACACTACACTCAAACTTCTCACCAACTTTAATAGCACGTATGACCATAGCATCACTTTTTGATGTATCCTGTGTCAACATCACACTATGTAAGAACTCTATGCACATAAAGGGCCCCAAAATACTAAAGTAACCCAGTCTGAACACCAATTTAAGACTTTTCAAAAACCAACTACTCACCCTAAACTAAATATTCAATACTCAATACTTAACCCGTAAACGGTCCAAGCAGATCTACGTTCACATGTGTAGTGCTACAAAAGTAGATCTAAGTTTTTTTACACATTTTCAAATGTAGAAAAACAAAAAGATCTACTTATTTTACATACTTTCAAATGTTGAAAAACGTATATATACGTTTGGACCGTTTACGGGTTAAATCTGCCAAAAGATCTCCCAGTTACAGTGGACCCCCAGATAACATAATTAATCTGTTCCAGAGTGTGCGCCTTATACCGAATCTGACTTAACCCTTTGACTGTTTCGGTTGTATATATACGTCTTACGAGCCACTGTTTGACGTATTAATATGCATAAATTCTAGCAGCCTCAAATCAAGCGGGAGAAAGCTGGTAGGCCTACATGTGAGAATGGGTCTGCATGGTGGGTGTGCACCCTATGACAAAAATAAGGGACTCAGTGGTGCATTGTGGGAACGCCATCTTGGTAGTCCTTGTTCACGATGCTTCACGGTAAGAAGTACCTCACTCTCATCAGTTACACAACCCAGGGCAACATGGGTTTAGAACAGGTCGCTCCTGTCTGTCTCAACTATTGGATCACTACGACAAGGTCCTAGATGCACTAGAAGACAAAAAGACTGCAGATGTAATATATACAGACTTTGCAAAAGCCTTCGACAAGTGTGACCATGGCGTAATAGCGCACAAAATGCGTGCTAAAGGAATAACAGGAAAAGTCGGTCGATGGATCTATAATTTCCTCACTAACAGAACACAGAGTAGTAGTCAACAGAGTAAAGTCCGAGGCAGCTACGGTGAAAAGCTCTGTTCCACAAGACACAGTACTTGCTCCCATCTTGTTCCTCATCCTCATATCTGACAGACAAGGATGTCAGCCACAGCACCGTGTCTTCCTTTGCAGATGACACCCGAATCTGCATGACAGTGTCTTCCATTGCAGACACTGCAAGGCTCCAGGCGGACATCAACCAAATCTTTCAGTGGGCTGCAGAAAACAATATGAAGTTCAACGATGAGAAATTTCAATTACTCAGATATGGTAAACACGAGGAAATTAAATATTCATCAGAGTACAAAAATTCTGGCCACAAAATAGAGCGAAACACCAACGTCAAAGACCTGGGAGTGATCATGTCGTAGGATCTCACCTTCAAGGACCATAACATTGTATCAATCGCATCTGCTAGAAAAATGACAGGATGGATAATGAGAACCTTCAAAACTAGGGATGCCAAGCCCATGATGACACCCTTCAGGTCACTTGTTCTATCTAGGCTGGAATATTGCTGCACACTAACAGCACCTTTCAAGGCAGGTGAAATTGCTGACCTAGAAAATGTACAGAGAACCTTCATGGCACACATAACGGAGATAAAACACCTCAATTACTGGGAGCGCTTGAGGTTCCTGAACCTGTATTCCCTGGAACGCAGGCGGGAGAGATACATGATTATATACACCTGTAAAATCCTAGAGGGACTAGTACCGAACTTGCACACGAAAATCACTCACTACGAAAGCAGAAGACTTGGCAGACGATGCAACATCCCCCCAATGAAAAGGAGGGGTGTCACTAGCACGTTAAGAGACCATACAATAAGTGTCAGGGGCCCCGAGACTGCTCAACTGCCTCCCAGCATACATAAGGGGGATTACCAACAGGCTCCTGGCAGTCTTCAAGCTGGCACTGGACAAGCACCTAAAGTCGGTTCCTGATCAGCCGGGCTGTGGCTCGTACGTTGGTTTGCGTGCAGCCAGCAGTAACAGCCTGGTTGATCAGGCTCTGATCCACCAGGAGGCCTGGTCACAGACCGGGCCGCGGGGGCGTTGACCCCCGGAATTCTCTCCAGGTAAACTCCTTGGTAGATTGGAGGTCTTTTGTTCCCAAGTGATGGAAGTGGCAGTAAAAGTGAATTTCATGGTTTTGGAGAGGGTGTGACCAAAAGCAGCGCCCAGGATAACATAATTAGTGATGAAAATCCAGATGATCCACAACCTTCCACCCCTGGTGCTGGGCTGTCTCATTCACATTCACCTGTACCAGGGCGAAAGAGGAAACTACAGTGGACCCCCGGTTAACGATATTTTTTCACTCCATAAGTATGTTCAGGTGCCAGTACTGACTGAATTTATTCCCATAAGGAATATTGTGAAGTAGATTAGTCCATTTCAGACCCCCAAACATACACGTACAAACGCACTTACATAAATACACTTACATAATTGGTCGCATTCGGAGGTAATCGTTATGCGGGGGTCCACTGTATTTCGCCGTTTACAAAACTCTCATGCGAGCAGTTCTAGTTGTGACAGTGAGGGTGAACATTCTCCAGTGAAGTGGCAGTATGTATGACGCAGCATGCATTCTGGTAGTGTGTCATATGTTGTTCCAAGGGAAAGGAGTAAATCTCGGAGTACATCCCGTGGCCCTACACCATGAACTGATAGTGAAGATGATGATATTGTTACAATGGGGATGAATAATGTGAGTGGGACAGCAGGTGGTGGTGCTGGTGGTGGTGGTGGTGGCACAAGTCATGTGGCACCAGCAGCGGGCCACGCTACTACCCTGCTAACTCAGCACAGCCACAACCACCCTCAACCAACCCCACACTCCCACAACATCCACAACCTGT